CCATTTAAAGCTAAGTGCAACCAGAATGCAGAGAACTTTGCAGCAAATTGCCAAGATAGTTGTTGAAAAAGCTAATTAAATAGCAGGGGTATGAGGAACACTTAGCATTATCCAGGCAAAGCACTGCAGCAGAGATACCCTGGAGTTCAGGTAATGAAAAGAAAGAGGTACTGCTGAACACCTCGCCAACTAAGAACCACCACAAAAATCAATGGCATTTAGAACAGGAGTCCTGCCGGAAGGCTGCAGAGCAGAAGGTGTAAGGCCTAATTTTAGACTATAGCAAACTCTTGATTCAGAGGTACAATGACAAAAACCCGCATAGTGATTCCTTAATAAAAAACGGGTATCCTGCTACCTAACAATACTTCAAGTGAGAGCGCGGTTCATAAATATGCGAAAGGGGGAATAAGGTATCTTTTGTGGAAAGAGGAGAAATAACAACTGCCTCTGTTTGCGTTAGAGCACGAGAGAGAGTCAGCGCACCTCAGAACTGAATGGAGCTGGCAAACACGCCTGGCAGGGATCGTGACACGTTTGACGTATTAATGGTAGGAGAGGCTGCTTACATTCACTTTGCGATCACACTCCTTTAGAGCTGTGTTCATTCGACAGCACACAGTCATTCAGAAAAGAAAAGAAACCGACGAACTCCCTATAAATTAAACCCACACATAATGATTCATCTCAACCTTTCGGGGTTTCATGACTGAAACTGCCACCTAGTAAATCAGAAACTATTTCTTCCTTCTCATGGCTAAGAAAGAAGGAAACCCTGCCATGTGCAACAATATGGATGGGCCCTAAGGGCATTACGCTAAGTGAAGTAAGGCAGAGACAAATACTACATGATATAAAAAAAAGAAAAGAGAAATATTTCTTCCTCCTATTAGAATAAAATACCAATGCTAAGGAAAAAAAGCCCCCTTATTTTACTTCCCATTCAGGAACAATATAATTCACCAACCAAAGTCATTCACAGAATTTTACGATTCCACATATGACAGCAATGGCAATCAAATGCACTGTTTTTCTAAGCCATATACGTGGTCAAAACTCTTTGATCAGCTACTTCATACTCTTTTTTAAGGGCTAAAGGAAGAACCAGTTCAGGGTAATAGTTTAATGTTCATTCCAGGTTTTTGAAAGAATTTTCACGTGTGGAGACATTTCCGGTTGTTATACTTGGGGACAGGGAGGACTACTAGCTCCCAGCGGGCAGAGGCCAGAGATGCTGTTAAACATCCTACAATGCACAGGACAGGTCCCCACCTCCCAAGCAAAAAATGAGCTGGCCCAAGACATGAACAGTGTAAAGACTGAGGAACCCTGATTTATATTACGATTTGCAGGTCTCTATTTGTATTCTTGTCTCTGGCCTTGCAAATGTTACCAGGCACACCTGCTAACAATCTGATCGTGCAGTCTAAAAATTTCGTCACACTGCCTTTAGGGGGAAAAAGTTACTTTGGGTTATGGTATCCAAAGAGTAACTTCTCTGACCCAAGTTAAGATTCAATCAATCATTGACTCAACACTTACCAAGCACCTATTACATAATTAGGCACAGTGCAAAGCAGAAGTGACAGTGTTAAAGAAAACTGATAGTATCTGACGACTGCAATTCAGCTCCTGCCTGGCTCACAGCAGTGAGTTTGAAAAAACAAGTGGGACTTCGAAGTGAGACCCTTCTCGTTCCAATCCCAGCGGTGTCACTGTCATTAGACATGTGACTTCACTCCAACTTCAATCTCTCCGTTTCTGTGGTAGCTCAAATAGGGCCTCTTTTAAAGTGGGAGATAATTAAAAATAGATAAAGCACAAAGCATACTGCCTGGCACACAATCAGTACCCAATAATTAATTCAATAGCAAATTTCAAGTTTCTGTAAAATAAAGAGTAAGCTGGAAACTGCCGGCTTGCCTGTGAAATAGACAGCCACGGTACCTGTGATTGTAGCAACACGAACACAGCTTTAGCCGAGTTAACTGCAGGGCACACAAACTCGTCCAAATTCTGGCTCCCGCCTCCGGTCTCCAGCCTTATCTCCCACCACCTCCACCATCTTTAATGCAGCCCTACTACGTCCCTGTAAGTAGGGACAGATTAAAAAATGAGCTTGACAGTAAAACTAAGAGAGCATCAAGCCAAAGGTCACTGTGAGAAAGAAAATTCTTCAGCTCTAACGCTGGCTGCACACGCAGGTGCCGCAGGAGACGGGGTGGGGGCAGGGGGGGCGGGAACGATGAACACACGCAAAAGGCTCTGCAGCCAGGCACCGGTGCTCCCTGTGGTCAGGGGCTGCAAGTCCCAGATTTGTGTTCAAGTCCTGGTGCTACTGCACGTGTGACCTTAATCAGGTTACTGAAACTTGCTGAGGCTGAGTCTCCTGATATGCAAAATAAAATAAAATGAACAGATTCATAAGCTTTAACATTTCTTCCACTCAAAATTCTGATCCTGGCTTTGAAAATCTTTAAGGTCCAAATGTTTCTTAACAATTCTTTGAAGGGAGGAGGATGAAATAAAGGGTTTTAGAGAAATGATGTGTCAAATTATAGGTTCATAGGTTTAAAAAGATCATTTAGTGAAAAACGGTTGTGAAATCTGTGCTTAGTGATTGTTGAAAACACTGGGTGACAATAAGTGACAGCACCGCAGGATTGTTCCTGTGTCGCAGCAGCTTCCTGTCAGGAATCCTTCCAGGGAGTTGCTTTGTGAAAGAGTCTATAGCTCTCCAAAAGAACTGCAATTAAGCTACTATTACCATTCGTGAGATAATGCCATTGCTCAGCCTTCAAGGGTACTCCATGCTCTCTTGGATTCCACTTATCACTGAGAACATCAATATCGCAAATAAGTAACAAAATAGCAATGGTAGAATAATTCTCTGACTTGCAACAAGGGTCCCTTCCAGAATTTTAGAGTCCAAGGGACCCTAGTAATTATCCCCAGTACTTTCACTTTACAGAAAAGCATTACCTTTATTTCAGTAAACCCTTAAGGATTGACTGGTTAGGTTTGTAGAAGAGTCTCTTAACTCATTTGACATTTAAAAAAAAAAAAGGTTACCTTTTTTAGAGAGGATTTTTTTTTTCCTAAAAACATCCCTGAAGTAATAATTTTGCTATCTCTGGTTATGTGCTTAACATGCTGGAAATTTCTTCTACACATAGACTTTCTTAAAGTGCTATTGTCTACTGTACTGTCCCAGAAATTCTGGAGGTTCTGGCCTCAAGAAGAAAAGATGAGATTAACACTACAGATTGCACAGGGGACCACCAATGAGTACCACGCTTTTATGCAGTTGGGGAAGCTGTACCACAATGAACATTAACAACAATAATGATAAGAAACCAACATTTTACTTGCCTTCCAGTCCTGTCATGAAATCTGCATTCTTAACTACGCAAAATACAGCCTGGATCATCCTTACGTCATTTTGCATTGCAGATCATACATTTTAAAAGAATCGCGTCTTCTATATCCATTCTATGAACATAACTAAAAATGTGCTTAATTTTACAGGATCCTTATATTGCCATTCTACCAATAAATTCCATTTGAAGCTTTAACTTGCAGGAGTAGGTGTTTATCCCCTTCAGTTTACTTTCTTAGAAAGTAAGAGATCAGCACAGTGCTAATAGCAAATATTCACTGAATAACAAATAAATTGACAGTAATCATGATAACCCTCCAATTCAGAGGAATAAAAAGATAAACCGCTGACAAATTTACTGGACACAAAATCCAAGAACAAGAGTGCAGGACACGCAGTATTGTATAAAGAAAACAAAATCCGCCTTACACCTGTACGAGGAGTAAGAAATAATCCTTGTATCAAGATTATTTATCAAGATTTGCCACAGCATAACATAAACCTTTCCAGTATCTGGAAATAATTCCTCTTTACCCAACACTAGATAAGACGTGCATTTGAGGCTGACCTGGAAATCCAGTGTCCCATATGTCTATGAAAATGAGGACAGGAGTTGTGAATTCTAAGAAATATGCACTAATTAGAAACATACCGACAAATATTTAAAGATTCTACAGCACAGAGCAATTACTCAACAGGCCCTACTTGAAAAGACTCTCAAAGCAATTATAACGATGCTGTCTCTCCATCCAAGATCAGGATGGATCCATATGGGCCACTGAATTTAAAGTCATATTGCGATTCTCTGGGTCGTTTTAAAATGGGTCACAAATAGTAGCGTCCAGAATGTCTCCAACAGTCAGTGACTTTCAAACTTTAGGATCCCTCAGTAACACCTAGGGCACTTATTACATATGACGATTCCAGGCCTAAACTCTGAATCTTATTCAAAGTGTCTAGTAAGGAGCCCTATACCAGCATTTTTAATGACCTGCCAGGTGAATCTGAAGCAGGAGGTCCAACAGCCACCCCTCCCCCCGCCCTGCCCCCAACACACACTTTGGAGCGCCTAACCCTAACCCAGAAGAACATATACTTCAACCACCCGGACAAGTTAACAGACTGCGAGCAAGTCAAGGCTGTGAGGACTTGGGGGGCCGCCGGGAAGGACACCGGGCAGGGCCCGGACCCTCCCAGGCCGGTGCATCGCACCAGGCAAAGCCTGGTCTTCGAGGAAGTGACAAGTTGATGGTGTTGGGGCCACAGTAATTTTCATTTTTTCCATAAAGTCCCACTTTGCTACGAAGAGGGCTGGGGAAAGAGCCTGGACTTTGAAGTCCCCTAGGTCTAGATTGCTACAAGCTACGCCGCTAGTAGCCCTGCGTCCTTAACGCCCCAGGCTCAGCATCCCCGTCTGTGCCTCGGGCTCATATCACCGCCCCCCACCCCGGAAAGGCTAAGCCGAAGCGAAACTAACTCTGCAGGTCGCGGGCACTTCCTGGCTCCCCCCAGGCCCGCTCGGCTTCCCGGTCGCCCCGGGGACTACCCCCCGGACTGCGCGCCACAGGGCCGCAGCCGATCAACGCCCCCCGCCCGGCCCGACCCCCGGTCGGCCACTCACGGGTAGGCATGGTGACCCCCGAGCCGCGCTCGCCGCCGCCGCTCTGAGCTCAGCGGGGCCGCGCGGGACGCGCCGATGGCAGCATAACGCGATGGCACCGAGCCCCGGAGGACCGGACGAGGCGAAGGGCGAAGGGCGAAGGGCGGAAGGAACGGGCGCGGACCCGGCGGTTCAGGCAACGAAGGGGGCGACAGCTGCGAGCCGGCCCAGCTCCGCGCCGGACGACGCGATGGCTGTCCTCACGCCCTGACGTCATCACGTCGCCGTCGTCCAGGCCCCACCCGCTGTCGGCAGGGCTCCACCCGGGAGCGGTCACCTCCGGGCGCAGGGACTGTGCGGCGCAGAAGGACTTTAGTTGGGGCCCTTGGGGAGGGTGGCGCACGGAACATCTTCAGACTTCGTTGTATTGTCAAGCCCTAGTGATTTGTGTACTATTCATTTTCGTGAATCCTTATTCGAGGTGCATTAGCGATATTTGTTTCTTACAGTTGCACCACTTTAAGACGTTTGAAAGGGTAAACATGACTGCTTTCAGTGCATGAGTACCTGTAGGCTTTTTCTTTACGAGACTGCATTCTGTAGTCTCTGATAGCATTTTTTTTATTGTTTGTTTTTATTTTTTGAGACGTGCTGAGGTCATTTGGGGTGATGGCTGCGTTTTTGGAGAGGACAGGAAGAAATGTCACACACCCCTGCTCTACTGGGGACTTCCAGAGAGATTTTATGCCCCAGGAGTTAGTCTCCTCCAGAAAGGGCTGTCTGTCCATGTGGCTAAGCTATTTTTCTTGACTCTCCGAGTGTCAATAATTGATTTATCTAATAGTCACCCAACTAGGGGACCCTTGGAGCCCGGAGCCTGGGAGTGGGTCGCCTGCACAGAGATGTAGAGGGAAGCCACTGAGGTCCAAAACTGTTCCTCAGATCGCTTCAGGATTCTTTTGTGCTCAAAGCACTGGGGAGGCTGTTTAAAGGGATTTTTAGGTCTGAAGCTAAACCTACTGAGTCACACTTGAGGATGATTCCAATACATATTTAAATTTGAGAACCTTTGTCTTTGTGCTCACATTCCGGTTAAGGAACGATACTGTGCCACATTGAAAGAAGAAGAGAAAGAAGATAGAGAGCCAGGAAGGGCTTGGAGAGAATTCATCTTGAGATAGACTGGGAAAAAAAGCAGAATTTAAATTAGCAAAGACCTGGGAAGTTCTTAAAGAGGTTGGGGGAGGGTGGAGGGCAAGTTACAGTGAGTCAGAGAGGCTGATCAGAGGGCAGTGCCTTGCTATTGGTAAAGGCCAAACTACAAAGTACTTAGCCAACACTTACCCTACAACACAATGTTGCATATTTTTATTATCTCTGCAATCTGTACTGCTCCCAGATTTCTCCCCAAGACTTTCCCAGTATCAGGACCTGCCTCTTCTGTAGAGGCACCCTACAGAAGTTTTCCATCGGAACCCTAATTAAACTGTCCTTAAGTGTTTGCATTCCACCGCTGGACTATGTACTTTTCAGAAAATGACAAAAATCATTTTCTGTTCATATTTATGTATTTCTGCTTGGCCCACAGAGAGAGGCTAGTGCCTATTAATTTAATAACTAGATTTATTCAATGAATAGGGAAGCAGAACAAGTAAAATAGAGTTAACGACTTTACATACAAGCTGGGAATTTGTCCTTTAAGAAATCATTCCGGGTTCTTCACCTATACAGCACCATTCAATGATCAGAGACGGGGTTCTACAGAGTGGCCGGCGTAAAGTGAAGGCCTCAATCCTGATGCAGCGGGGGCGTGTTAGGTGCCTGCTCGTGGTGGTGGTGGCTGCGGACGGGGGAGAGCTGAATCTTAGTGCAGAATCTCTGAGGTTCGTTGGCTGCTCCTCGGGAGCAGAAGCGAGGCATCTGTTAGTTATGTAACTCCAAGGTTGGAATGGAGAAACCCATGGTGCTGGGAGGAGAGCAGACAATCGGAAGGAACCCTGTCTTAGGCAAGGGTTATGGAGAGAAGATGTGAGTTCCTCTTGGGCATAGTAAGCTTGAGGTGACCTCCAAGGGAGACAGGCAAGTGGCTAGACCTGGCCATACCAGGTCCAAGGTAGGCAGAGAAATCTCCAGGGGGGAGATTCCGGAGTCTTTGGCCCAGGGACAGAAGCTGAAGTCAGGATCAGAGAAAGCCAGCTCAGGGAGGGTGCGGAGCCAAGGAGACAGTCAGAGGAGATCCAGAGGGTACAGTGCCCCGGAGCCAAGGGAGCATATGACATTAGTCAAAAAGACACAAACCCCGAAGACCACAAGGAAGTGTGGCCCATACGGGTTTGGTTCTTCTTATTTTTTTTAATCCCCTTAGTCTTTTGGTTTTGTGTTGCCAGAAATAAGATCAGCAGCAGAGACTGAGGGGAAGGACAGCTGAAATGCAGGAATAATAACATCGTAATTGTTGAATCATGCATACCACGCCTGTTTTCCTAGGTTGTACACGTAGGCTATTGGTAATGCTGTTACCGTACAGATGATCTCGATCCAAATCCCCTGGATCAAGTTCTGCCTGTGTTCCCCTCCCCAAACCTTCCACTCCTCCCCTTTCTGAAAGGACTGGTTCAGCACCTCAGTTAGTAGGTGACCGAAGAGGGCCTGCCTCTCCCAGACCACTTCTTCGGTCCGCTCTTGCAAACACAGCTGCTCTGTGTCAGTGCTCCTCTCTTGAAGTTTAACTTGAACTGGTAGGAACCGAGCTTTCTCCGTCTCTGTCACTCCTCACACTGCCCAGCCCTCGTCCTTGCATATTGTGTGTGGCCACAGAGATGGGCCACCAGCTCCCTTTTCCAGAAAGGAGGCCTGCCAGAAAATATCAATTAAAATGACATTAGATCATTGGCAACATCCTATTAGAGCATTAGCTTTTAGCCCAAATTGCCTGAAACAGCTCTGCTTCCAGTTTAGCCCAGTCTTTGTTCCAGTTTCCAAGTCAGGCACTGAGATGATGCACTTTTAATTAGCACACATTTTACTGTTCAAAGAGAATTGCCAGCAAATTTACAGTTGATAGGAAATAACTGTAAGAATCTTTACTTCTCCCAAAAGCGTATTCCCAAAAGTTCACGATGCAATTTGAGGCTCTCATTGCTCAGTTTTCTTTCCCACTAAATGTATCAGTAATAAGCTCTTTTAGTTTCATTCCATTCCATTTGATTCCTGCCATTCCTTAATAGTGACTCGGGGCTTTCCAGGTCTTATGAGGCATAAAAAGCAGGCTTTGGACTTAGAAAACCCGAGTTTGAATCCTGCTTTCCCCCTCACCTGGCCGTTTGACCATCTTTAACATCTCTGAACTTAATTTTCCTTAATTTCAGGATTGAGACGCATCACCTTGTGTTGTAATGTTCGTTGAGTCTGCTCATGGCAGTAGTTCTCAAACTGGGAACTTTTGGAATCACCCAGGAAGCTTTAAAAACTACCTGGGTCCTCCTCCCAAGGTTCTAGTATCATTTGGTCTGCAGGATGGCCTGGGCTTGGACTTAGTTTAGAAGCTCCTCAGGGGTTTCTCCGTGTAGCCAAGGCCAAGCTTCGCTGCTCTACAAAGGCAGCGAAGGAAGAGGAAGCTCTGAGTACAAGTGTCATAGACCTCATTATGCCATTTCTTTTGCCAGTTAAGCTCACGGGTTTCGACATCACTGTGCTCTGAATTACAGAGTAACTTTTTTTCACTCACATGCTCACCGAAGGAGTTGGAAACACTCATTAAATTAAAAGGATAAGCCTCTAATCCAAAAGGTCATCACCCAATGCTTTACGTGCCAAGGAAGACACAGCACACGGCACGTGTTCCTTGTCATCCCCAGCAGCCAAATGCCACGGTCTTCTGTGCTTGATAAAGAGAATTGCAAATGGGTAGGGACCAGGATCCTGGGGTAAAAAGGTTATCTGTTCTTGATTAAATCAGACAAAACAGCAGGAAACTCTTCCTTAGAAACACCATCATTTTCAACAATTAGAGGAAAGTATAATTTCTCATTGTTTACCAAAGTGCTAGCTTGCTTTAGCAATTAACACGGGGAATAGCAAAGCTGTGAAAAGGAGGGGGAAGTTCTTTTAAATATAGTGGCATTCTAGTCAGCAAGGCCCTCTACCAGACCTTTACGCCACGGGGGATCAAATCTTACTTATTGCTGTATACCTTGGATATGTAAAATGTGCTTAGTAAACCTTTGAGAGAGAGAGGAAGTCAGGGCGGAAGGGAGGAAGGGGAGAGAGCAACATCAAGGGTATAAAGACGAGAAGCAAACATCGGTAAATCAAGGTATTAGAAGAAGCTCTTTGTGATAGATTAGGGAAAAAATGGCCTAGGCTCTTCCCCTGGCTGTACGCACACACTTGCACTTGACTTTGTGACTCCTCCCCAAAAAGGCACAAGCTTTCTCCACTCCTTAATCGGAGCTGGCCTTGCAACTTGCTTTGCCCAATGGGACAGGGGCCAATATTGTACACTCAGGGACCTAAGAGATGTGACAAAGCCTGGGGAGAGGCCCCAGCCATCCCAGTCCTCTCACGATAACCTGGGCAGCCGCAGCTGACCCACCAGCTTGGCACATATGCAAGAGGGAGTCCAGCCAAGGGCAGCGGAGAACCTGCCAGGCCAGCCAGGATTACCAACACGTGGCAGTCTCTGCGTGGGTAGCCCAAGAAAAGAGGACGCTGGGGACACCATAACCTGGATCAATGTACCTCTTCACCCAGATTTTGAGCTGGAGATATAAAGAAAGCCAGAAGTTGGAGCAGAAATGAACAGCCTATGTGAGGTACTATGGGAAGGTAAGGAAAGGAGGGTGTATGGAAGCTTAGAGCTGAGTAACATGCCCTGTCTTTTATTTGTACCCTCAATTCTGCTCAGCAAAGAGTCATGAACAAGAGTCTGTCAAAGAAGAAGGGGAACATCAAGGGTACAAAGGTGAGCGCTTCCAGGTCCAGCTTCCCTCTCCCTGGGAAGTCTTCCCGTCCAATGGTCGACCTCAGAGGATGCGGGATTCGCTTTTTTAAGGAAGAAAGCAATCTTTCTAGTTTATAGAAGTCGTCAGTGGGGAAAGAGACAGGTCCTTGAGTTTGGTGATAAAGAATAACCAGGAACAGTGAAGAGAGTGTCTTTAACAGAGTACATAATTTATAAATAAGAAACAAACTGAGGAGGAAAGAAATTTATAGGAAGAGATATTGAGCAGCAAAATGAAGAGGAATCCAGTCTCCCAAAG